ATTTGCTCTTTTTCTATGGCTGTTGAACCATCCGCTTGTGTTAGTGGTGGAATCGTGGATTTTGTAAAGTTCTGACTAACAGCTTTAGCTATCGACCCAAAAGGATCTAGGCCCGTTGGGATTGGCAAGCATTTTATCCCTAATTCTCTTACTTGTGAAGTTCTTTGCTTTCATTTATCCTAAGTTTGAAGCTGTTGCGCGCATTAACAAACCTAGTTCGGTATTCGTCACTGGGATTTTCGCGCCACTGCAGGTAGGCGAGATGTTTGCGGAGGTGATAGCTTGCTTGCAATTTTTGTTAAACCAAGATTTGCCATTAGAAGGTCGTTTCATTGCTATGTCGTTCTATAATCCATGGATGATAGAATAGTTTCCCTGACTTTAGAAGCACACGTTGATGGAGCTTTAGAGCTGAAATAAACATCAAGCCAGCGTAAATTTCGATAAAGTATTCAAACGTATTTCACTATTTTCCGGGTTTGAAGTCCGTGGATTTTTGGAATTTCTTCCCGTACACCATACAACCTGAGGAGTTTACATAAATGAGCGTTACGCAGCAGTAATATCCAGTCATCGGAGATATCAACTCAGGATATACAATAAACCTATGAGGAAGCTAGCCACTCGCGCCAGCAAGACGTCAGACAGAAATTACAAAAATCCACGTCCTTCAAACACGGAAAATAGTGACACTAAAAACCTTGGCATTTTATTTCAATTTCTATTAGAATATTGATAAATTAAATGTTTCTTTCTCTTTTGGGACTTTGTTCGCAAGACGGAGCTGTTACTAGTTAACAATCTTTCTCTCAGACGAAGATTTCATAATGCAGTCGAGCCGCGTTGAAATTAATCAAGTCCCAAGCACACTGCTCTTCGAATTGGATCTTTCCTGCACTGATGAGAGGTAATACCTCGAAACCGGTCTGTAGGTAACCTAATCGACGGATTTCAGCATGGTCTTGCTGCTGGATGAACGAGAAACATCTGCAAGACTAACCTCTGTGGGGTATCTTGCATGAATTTCTGTCGGATATAATTCAATGTCCAGCGTGGTACTAGCCGGGGAAGTAGTTGCCAGGCAGGCATTTTCAGGATCTACGATGTAGGTACTTTGGAAGAAATCAATTTTTCGAGATTTTGTTTCGAAATATTAATTTTTTTATATGTATGATGTATCTATCATCGATAAAGTTTTCAAACGTCAATATAATTCAATTTTAAATTTCCCATCAAAGTTCCGACCACTCTATTGAGTTCAGCAAGTTTTGGTTATTTACTGTTCGAAATTTCTTCAAAATCTGTTGAAATTTCCATCATATTATGTAATCAACAACAAATTTAACAAAATTTTGACTGTGCTAAAACAGGCGTCATATCAAAGTGATACTAGATGATATTATGAATAGCTTCGTTTACCTTGATTGTTGGTTATTTTATCAACATAAAGATGCTAATTGAGTTAAATTATTTAAAACTAAATCTAGTTTTATCAGGTTCATTTGGCTCTTACCATCGAATTTTTCTTCTACATTGATACGCCAGTAGAATTAGTTCAAAAGGAGGTCAGCAACGCAAACATTTTTACTGGCCATTTTTTCAGAATCCTTGGGGAAGGGGGTCACTGGCAGTCTAAATTTAAGTTCCCGGGGTACCAGACCCGTTGCGATATTCGCCATCTTGAATTTAAGGGTTGATATTTGTTTATAGTTTATTTGTGTTATCAATGTTTTTCTAGGATCAATTTTTCGATTCATACCCGAAAAGAGGGGATGAATTTTGTTTTATTGAGCAACTCGTTTATTTTCAATTCCACGAGAAATATTGTGATCAACAAAGTTGTTAAAAATCAAATATTCTGCAATTTTAGTCATACTCAATTTTCCTAGGATCGATATTTTTCGATTCATACCCGAGAAAGGGAGAGGGTAAATCTTATCATTCTGTTATCACGTTCATTTTCAATTTTTCGAGAAGAATCATACTGAACAAAGTTGTATAAAATCATATTTCCTACATTTTGGTCCTCATCAATTGTTTCGTAAGATCGTTATTTTTCGATTCATACCCTAGAAAAAGACGGAGTAAAATCTTTTCGTTGTATTATCACGTTTATTTTCAATTTCACGAAAAAAAGTAATGATGAACAAAGTTGTATAAAATCAAATTCCCGTCAATTTCGGTTCGGATGTATTTATCGACAATTACAAAGAAAAATCAAACGACGAAAACATGACCGGACCATCGGCTAAAAGTTCCCAACAAACAATCGACTTTTCACCCTTCTTATTCTGGGATTCATTCAACACAAGAGCTTCATTCATTGCTTTCGAGTTCTGAAAATGTGTTTTCTCTTTAATATTATTAGTCAAATTACTTGACTAATTTTAGAATCTGAAATTTCCAGAAATTCACTTCTGGTTGAGGTAGAAAATAGTTTTCTTTTCGAATGAAATTGAATTCAGTTAAATGAATTTCAACGGAATCGAGTTAATTTGACCTACGTAAATTTAAGTTCATTTTTTTCAATAGTAACAGGCACCACAAGACTCCAAAATTTCATTGATAAATTTCCATCTTCTAACGAAAACTTTGTTATTTAACAATACTATGATATGGCAACCAGTATGATAAAACCACGAGTCTATTGCTGATTGCTCGATTTATATTGCACAAAAATAACAAAGTTTGTGTTTCAAAAAAAATGAACATTTGTCTGAGAAATTTTTTAGGTCAAGTGGTATTCGTGAAGATTATTTACAGAAATATTCTAAGCTGAATGCATCGATATAGAAACACAATATCAATTCTCAATGAATCAATTTTATTACCTGAATAATGAGGATTATTTCTCCGTACAATTAATAAAGACACAACGTCCGAATATATGAACAGAGTACGTAAAATATTAAATTTGTATTTTTCATTTTTAGGATTTTATCCATAAAATGTATCGTGCTTTGACATGAGACCGCAGTTCCGGCACCCGATTCACCCAACTTACTCAACACGGCTGAATGCATTAACTGTACGTCGCGTATTCTTTTCGATTTTAATGAAGTTACTATTATCCAGAATATTGTTTCGATTTGAAATAGTTACCAAAAGTTTCGATTAAGATATTGGTATTCTAAATAGCATATATAAAATGTTGTCATTCAAGGTAGAGTTTGAATTGATGGATTGTTGTCTTATTTTTTGAGGTTATATGATTCAGTGAATTGTAGCACTTTGTTATTTTGGTCTCTTGTATCTGTTCATTGTATTCGTGAGTTTCATTTCACTAACATACTCATTTGAATTGACAGTAGTGTTAGGGTCTAGTCACTGTCATAATCATATTATCATATTATTAACCCTGGGAATTTCCGTAGAAGCACTCGTGCAAACTTTCAATATTTAGTAACAATCATATTCGAATATTCAATTTCATTGGTTCAATTCAATTAGGACAGGGAAAGTAATTGAAATTGTAAGAATGATGTAAAACTGAAGAGTCACATATGGCTCAAGAATAATAACCCCTAGAAGTTAATTTCATGATTGTCAATTTTATCGCTGTTAAGAAGTGTTTCATTGCTGCAAAACTCTGTTATTTTTTTAACACGCTTTTATTAGATTTACCTGTATGCATGTATGTGTGTTTGTTTGTAACTCTCAAGCTCGAGATCCGTATTTGACAGAATTACCGACATTATTGCTTGATCTATTCGCGGGCAGATGGAACTGTACGTAACCTCCTTGATATATGGGCATTACTGCTTGATCTATTCGTGGGCAGATGGTGATGTACGTAATCTCCTTGATATATCGACATTATTGCTTGATCTATTCGCGGGCAGATGACGCTGTACGTAATCCCCTCGAATGACGCTGTACGTAACCTCCTTGATATATGGACATTACTGCTTGATCTATTCGTGGGCAGATGGCGCTGTATGTAACCTCCTTGATATATCGACATTATTGCTTAATCTATTCGCGGGCAGATGACGCTGTACGTAATCTCCTTGATATAATTCGAACTTACTTCACATGTATTTTTTCGGTTGAGAAAAGTATTTTTTTATTAACACGCGCGCCTGCTGCCTTATTTGTAACCCTTCTTTGCGCGCCTGCTGCCTTGGGCTTTGGTAGCTGATTTTCAGGCTCCCTCTGTCCCAATGATCATTTTTTTAAACAATATACGGCTGATTGATCCCAAAGTTTAGATAAAATAAATATAGATCAAAAATACTAAAAAACACGCTTTTATAGCATACGAAACTAAAAAATGAAAAATAAATATAGTTTAAAAAACTAAACTAAAGAACATCGAACTAAAAAGTAAAAAATACTTTTTTTGAATATGCTTAAAACGATAACGAACGAAAAAAAACTAGTATTACTGTGGAAAAAGCGTAGAACCTTTGTGCCATATTTTTTGTATATCAAGCGCTGGTCGCTTTTTTCACAATAATACTAATATTTTTCGATTGACGCAAAAATATGTAGTTATGAATCTTAGTTAGTTCTACAATTACCACTTACCTTCCTTATTTTAAAACGGCAAAAAATTATAACGAAAACTAACAACGTAACACTTTTCATCCACCACGTGCAACTGAGTGCTTCAAGCGGCCGGCAGACCTTGTCTGCATTGTTGCCAGGTCTTTCTAACAATATACACCTCGTACTACGCGATCGATTGTTGGTTTTTCGGCCTGAGCGATATTACCTCACCACGCGGTATTACCCCGCCTTCCCCTAATACTATTATTTTTGGTTTGTTATTTTTTGAAGCTCACTAAAAAAATATTTTAAACTTTTCAGTTCAATGTTCTTCAAAAGCGTGTTTTTTAGTTTTTTGAACTAGGTGTATTTATTAGCCTTGTCTTCAATGTCTTCATCTTTTATCGTTATGAAAGAGATAATCCCTATAAAAATCTGTTTTTTTTGTCATTTTATCGGTACATTTGTCTTTTTGTTGTATGTTTGACGTTCTTGGCAGCCTGTTTCAAACAAATCATCTGAAATTATCAAAAGTCAAAAAAAAGTGTGATTACGACATTCGAATTCTGAAAAATGCTTACGGTAAAATGATGACTAAAGAATACTCAGACTGTTAACAATAAAATGGTTGAAGTCTATCAATGACCACATTGAAGTAGATGTAAGTACTAGTAATGCATAGAAAAGAATATTAAATGACAAATTATTCCTTTTTAGGACATAATACATCATTTTTTCCCTACGTCCTGGCACGTACAGGGTGATCAATGAATATAGTAGCTAAAATGACATTTTCCAATGAGGAGTTCAAAGTAAACCCACAGATTCAATTCATGACAGAATGTATTGAGAAAAATTTTATTTCTTTCCTAGTGTTTCCAAATCAAGAAACTAAGTATCACTTCTACGTATTTTGTTACCAGTAAGAAGAACAGTTGTTTCAATTAGTCTCTTTCAACTTGTATCTATAAACTCCATAATATGTATATTTCTTATACGAAATCTGCTTCTTTATCATAGTGCTATAAAAGTAAAAAAATCTATTGAAAATTGAGTAAACAACTTGCAAATCATGATACATAATTCTAGTATAGGACGATTTTTCATCTAATGCATTATCTGTATCAGCTTTTCAACTGAAACCTAAAATGTTGAGTCGGAGTAGTTACAGTTGGGACGACAAAAGAATACACATGTGCAATCAATAATTTATGCGATAAGACACATAATTCTTTACAGCATTTTCTTAGGTGGAGAAGGAAGATAAAATAATTAATGATTGCATTCAATCAGAAAAAGCTCTTCTTTGAACCTGCACTTTATACATCAAAAAGAGATACCTATACAGACGTGAGTCGTCAACGGCAGGTTTTTAGAATTTGAGACCGATTGATGATAGTATACATTGTTTACTTGTTGTTAATTGAAAAATTTCTACAATTTTAATTCTTTTATACAACACAAATATTTTTTCACAACGAATAAACTGTGGGCATTTCACACTTTACAGTAAGTAAATTTTATATCATAATTATACATTTCAACGTCAATTTGTGAGTAACTCTGTCTGATGTTTCGCAAACTTTCACAAATTTAAATTGACAGACGTATAAGTTGAAAAATGGAATATAAAATATGATTTCTCAGAATAGTTGATGAAGTACCTACTAACAGACTTTATGAAATTTATCCAAAATCGTAAAATGGAGGGGTTTCACTACTGGTGAATTTCAAATACTTTCAAAAATAATTCTTCATCTATAGGTCATGTTGTTTGAAGTAGTAGACTTATCGTTTCATTTTCATAATTTGTTTGTGCCGGTTCTTTCTATTTTCGATCCTCAGAAAACAGTTAGATGTATAGAAAATGGGACATTTTCAAAAAAAGACAAAATTTCATGAATAACAATCACAACTCTTCGATAAAATGAATAACTATTCTGCATATTTTCCTTGCAGATACATACTGGGACGAAAAGTCATTCTGGCACCAAACTTACATTCAGTTTTTATTTTTATTACGTCTACTGAATTCCACTTCGACAATCATTATCACCTCAAACTTGACCCTGGATTTTACCTGGTTAATACCTCGAGTAAAACCATTTGAAAAAATTGGGAAGAAAGATAACTAATTGAATATCCGCAAGGAAAAGTGGTTATTTCAGATGAACCGGTTTCATATCTGAAACATTTTCATATAATCCAAACACTGTTTTGAAGAGTTTTCATTCATATTATTTTTATTTGCAATTTGTAAAAGTTTCTTATTATCAATTCATCATAGAACGTATACAAAGGAAACCAAAAAACGTGTGGAACTGCTTGGATTTTTAAATATTAACGTACAAGTTTCGCAGCTGATTAAAATATATTACCGAATTTTTATTTTCTTTGTACACAATAAACTAGCTCTGATTACATGTCAGAGCTAGTTTATTGGAATGTTGAAAATAGTAGGTACGGAAAACGTTAGTTTTGAAGTTTGAATTTCTATCTCTCTTTTAGAAAAATGGAGCTATTTCTCTTCAAATTTATTTACAAAATTCAAATTTTCTGTAGAAGTTTGACTCGGGTTTATAAGTATGGTATTCAATACAAGCATTCTACTTACTTACCTTCCACTTGTACCAGTTCTTATTTCTTAATTTTCAATAATTTTTGTGACTGAGAATGTTTTAATTTACTGTTCTTAGAGAGAGTCCTTAGAGAGATTAAATAATCTGACAGTTTCTCGATTTGTTCTATTTTCACTTTCAATTAGAACGACTTCGTCAATAAATAACATTAATATACTTTCTATATACTAATCTATTACCAAAATAATTTCAATAAGGGAAAACAACGTTATGGTAGCTTCATATCTATAGTTTTACTAGAACTACTCACAAATATTAGGATTTAGGTTGCCACAGTGCTATCATTAATTTTATTTCACATGACTCAGACATATTGATACTAATTTTGAGGTTTCTTTCAAGTAATGTTCACTTTGTGCCAAAATAATCAACAACTATGCAATTATTTCAACAAAATTTATACACATTATAAAGAAAATCTAGAGAGTTCTACGAACTTCAAAAAATGTAAATAATTGTATTTCAGAATGGAAAGTAGGTACAAATTTTTCGTAATAAAATAGTTTTCTAGAAATAAATAAATCAATGGAAGCTTTTCAAATTCAATATTTCGGCCAGTCTAAAACGATTTCCCCAGACGAAAATATTTGATTAGGAATGTCGCGATTCAAATGGTTTATTAGTTCATCCGGTATAGCTATACCTAGTTATGTACACTTACTCAATCAACTTGCATCTCAGCTGCTTTCACTCCATAACGGCTTATTGCAGGATCGGTATGTCACTTCAACACTAGGAAAAATTTAAATAACTTCTCTTCACCGTATCGATGATATTAATAATGCAATTGGCGATTTTAAATGGTAGTAAGTCCCCCTCCGACACAAGTGTGTGCTACTGGCTTGTGAAACGACACTGTAAAACTCATTTGCGAAATTGCACTTAGCAGAAGAATCTGTACTTATGTCACAAACGAATCAAAACTACTTTTATGATACAAATTCACTGAATCTGCATACTTGTTCTTCCACCAAATTGATGGCCACAATCATCACGAATAACGACATAATGACATAATTCGCTAGCCTGTAGGACGATGCTAAGTATATCTTAATAAAAGTTTGGTCTGTTGTCTCTGGCACAGCAGCGGGAAATACTCAGCAAACTCCATATCCGTTATCAATTGAATGTAGTTTTTCTAATCAAAGAATACCCTACTCTTATTTCGCCTGTGTTTATACCAGGTTCACCGTTTGTTTCTATCCATAGACAATTCAAGGGCAACATCTATCAAGACAGATTGTAAATCACAGATCTTTTGCTAGTTAAGTTACTTCAGGAATGCCCCAAAGATATCACTTGTGTCCTCTTCTGTTAAACTTATTTATGAATTATATTGGTCATATCTTACAATAATGTAATTTTTGCTGTTGATCTGAATATATTTCCATATCATCGATAGATCAAGACAGATCTTCAGATCGAAAGTATAATGTGGTAGAAAGTAGAACCTCTGTCGAAAAATCCATGTATTGAAAACAGTATTTCCAGAACAAAATTTCTTAACTTAGTCAATTCTTGATAATGCTAACTTGGTTAGCGTGTTCTGGTGTGGAATTAGTATTTTAATAGTCGGTTCATCAAAATTTTTCGAAATATTCGACAATGAATTTACTCAAGCTTGTCGCTTAAGGACTTTTGATAGCAGCACTGCATTAGTAGTTCAGCCTGGCACCACTAATATTCGCTATTCGGTGTTGAATCATGAATGCTTTGTCTTTGAGCTCTGGTTTCATATAATAAATTGATCCTCACTTAATAAAACATCGCGATTTTTCGCATGTACCATACTTTGTGATTATCTTCTTTATATCCGTGTTATCGAATTCTTTACCACCATCAGTTAATAATTCTTGTACTGAATGTCCAGTTATTTTTGCTTTTGACAGAAATTCTTCCAGTTTATCTTTCACCTCAGACTTCTCTTTAAGGAAATAAACATAGCGAAATTTACTGAAATCATCCTTGAAAACGACGAAAAATCGTGCACCACCAATCGATTTTATATTCATTAGTCCACAAACATCAGCATGGATAAGTTCTCCAGGTTTACTGGTTCTATTCATCCTCTGACCAAAAGGTAGTCGATGATGTTTACCATACATACAAGCATCACAAAATTCTGCATCAGCTTCAACCTCGACTCCTCTTCTTTTCAGAAAATCCTGAACATGTCTCTTATTTTGATGACAGAGACGTTCGTGCCAAATCTGCAAATTATCGCTGGCGGCTAACTGAACTTCTGCAGTATTTTCAGGAACAACAACTATATGCATCACATATAAACCGTTTTTACGAATTCCAGTGGCTACAACCTTCCCAATTTTCGAAATGTTGCAAATATGTTTGTTGATTGTTGACGTCATACCTTTATCAACTACAGAAGGTATTGAAAACAGATTCCTCCCTACATCAGGAACGTACCACACATCTTGAAGATAATTTCTTATCCATTTTCCATCGATGAACATTTGAACATTTATATTTCCTTTTCCGAGAGCCTGCATACTCTGACCATTACCAAAAATAACTGACTGGGAAACTGGGAAGTTTTCGAAAGTGGAAAACCAATTTCGGTGCATGGTCATATGTTGAGTGGCACCTGAATCTGCAATCCAACTAACGTTTGGATGTAGATCTAACTGAAAAGGTTGTGAAATGAATGCTGAACCTTGTACTGAAGTAACATTCGTTTTGATATCTTTGGTACAGTCTTTCTTTAAATGTCCTCTATGACCACATCGATAACATTTTGGTTTAAATTTCTTCTTCGCGTTATCTTCCTTGTGCAGGGTTAATGTTATTGGTGGGGATCGATATTGAACTCTCTTCGATACTACTAATGCTGTTTTAGTGGAAGTATCGTTAGTTTCTTCTCGTTCTTGAAGTCGCATTTCCACGGTGCATAATCTTTCACGAAGTAACTGAATGGTTCTTTGCTCCTTAGGGACAGACTCCCATGCATTTAGGAATTCAAAATAATCTTGAGGCAAAGTATTGAGTACTCTATTGATGAATAACGACTCCGGCAACTTCACTTTGTCCTCTTTCCAAGTTTCGTCTTGAAGTTCTATCCAAAACTTTTCGAGTTTTGCCATGTGTTTAGCTATGCTTTCTAGGGGATCCTTTTCTCTCATTCCAAAGAACTTGTTGAATGGTCTGTCTTGCCTTTGTTCCGTTCTTTGCTCAAAGATACTCAAAAGCTTATCCCACATATCCTTTGAACTATTACACATGTTTATCAGCTGCCTGACTTGAGAGCTCAGACTAGAAATAATGAGATTTTGGGCTGTGTATTCAATTCTGTTTGCAGACTGCATCAAACATTTGTATGTTTCTGTTACATCCTTATCTCTGCTGTCTCTGCTGGTTTGACTGGAGATTCAACTGTGCCCAAAACAGCATCCCATGCATTGTGTGCGTGCAGCTGGATTTTGATTTTAAATTTCTAATCAAGCCAATTGGATTGCCCTTCCAATTTCTCGGTCAACACTTTCGGAATCTCCATCTTCTACAGTGTTCGAAAAAACTATGTAATCCGCAACTCAGTGACAAACAGGTCCAAGATGTCACCCAATGAACAAGTTTTTTTCTTACTTCAACTCAATTTACCGATATTTCATTAATGTGTTTCTGGGCCCATAACCTGTTGTAGATTATACTTGAAACTGTGGATCGTAGTGAAATAGCAAAGTTGAAGTAGAACTTTAATAAACTTGAGGAATACAAAAATATACGTGACAGTCAAAATAATTGACAAACTAAACTTCCAAATAGCAACATTTAGCAACCACATAAAACTATACAGGATGACTATAAGCTGCATTTCAGTTCATTCTCCAACATTTTGGAACATGCACCAATTTTTGTCAAGAATAAAATTTTCTGAGAAATCGATAATAAAAAAGTTTCCCATTTGTTGCACACTTTGTGGACCACACTGTATAACATAAGACATTTTTCACTTTCTAATTACAAATACTATTTTGCTCAGGAAATATATCTCAGAACGACATATAAGGTGTTCGAAATACCTCCTAAGAATGTTCATTTGTAGTTTTAAAAACGATTTATAATTTATTTATGAAAACTCTTGCTGTTGAAAAAACTGAAAAAGTCCGCGGAAACGAAGTCGCAGGCTAACTGCCAGTTTCTTATAAGAATGCTGGTGTCTTGAAAGCAATACCTATATGAGAGACAATAAACTTGGTATAATACTTGAAACCTTTCCTCTCATCTCACAAATTTTTTTTCTTGTACAGTGGATAATCCGACAACCAAAATCAAGTAGCTTCAATTATCTGAGCCTGCTGGATATTCTCATTGCTTGATTGATACAAGATCTAATCTGGTTAGAATTCCCAACTCATGATCTGCAAATAGGTTCTCTTTCAGTTTACCAAAAATGTACATAAGAATAACCTGCTCTTAAAAAAAATTAATATTCGATGTGAGTTTGGTAATTATCAAGGACTAGCTCGATCACCGGATTTGATTCACAATGTTTTTTGCTATATTTGAAACCCTATTCATTATCTGAACTGTAGATTGACAGTTCAAATAATGAGTGCTAAAAATTTGTCATACCAAGAGAATCTGTTTGCGGCAAAAGATTAATGATGACAATTTTTAGGGAATGAGTAAAAATTTCGAATACTCACCCTGAAGAATATTTCATACTCTCTGACCGAATTTAGTTCCAGAAGAAATATTCTCACAATCAAACAATCGACAAAATTTGAATATTATCAATAAATGTTTCCATTACGTTGATTTGTGGAGTAAAAAAACTTTTATAAGTATATCGAGATGAGTTTGACCGAAGAGGATAATTATCATTTCTGACTGAAAAATAATTAACAGGTTACGACGTCTGCATAAAAGTCGCTTTTTGTTGACATTTTTTATTTTCAGTACTTGTTGGTTAAATAAAAATGTTTATTCTCTGACCTTTTCATAAATAACAAATAAACAAATTGTGGATTTTTTTGTGAATTTGACATTCAATAAACATTTGTCTATTTATCTAGTATTATAAAGACCATGTGTTAATCAATCACATACGGATGGTGTGTATGGAATAAAAGTGTGACTTTTAACTGTTATTATTTGCATTGAAATCGTCAACTCAAACAATATCCACACTATAGACAACAAATATTTATGTCACATTATGAATGATGTGTTAATCAATCACATTTCAAATATAGGTGAAAAAATAATTAATGAAAGTATTTACTATTTTAGATCATTGAACTTCCAATTTATATTTTTATGAGCATGATAAAATATAGGGTGTTTTATAGAGGTATAGAACTTTGAAATGGAATAAAACAAAGATGAATTTTTAAATTGACATGAAATTTACTTTATTCGAAAGATAATCTTCTGGTTTGGACGTAGTCTAATCTGGAGGTCCAATTTTCGATGACTTTCTCCAACATTTGTGGCCGTATATCGGCAATAACGCGGCGAATGTTGCCCTCCAAGTGGTCAATCGTTTCGGGTTCATCGACGTTAGACTAGCGACTTCACATATTCCTGCAAAAAATAGTCTAGCGACATTAAATCGCACGATTCCAGAGGCCAAGTCACGGGTCCGAAACGTGAAACTATGCCGTTACCAAACGTGTCCTTCAATAAATCAATTGTGACACGAGCTGTGTGACATGTTGCACCGTCTTGTTGAAACTACAGCTCCTGCACATCATGGTTGTTCGATTGATGAACGAAAAAGTCAGTAATCATGGCTCTATAGTGGTC